GGGGGGTTGCGTTTGTTGCAACCCACACAGGAAGGAAGTGGATTTGAAAGAAAGAATTAGATAGAAAATAGAGTAGCCATTTTCGCAGAAGCCAAACAATCCCACCCATCATTGTCTTCAACTTTTCTTCCTAGTTCCCATAGAGTCGGACATATTGGGTTTGGGCGATTTCCATTTCTTTTACCCATAAGCATTTCTGGCTTTACACGTTTCTAAATATGAGATTTTGAGCCTGTTTGGGAATAGCTTTAAAGATTAGCGTCAGCGACTCAGTGTTTTTTATAAAATTTTAACGGTGCAAATTATTTTGAAAACGTTAATGCTAAACGCTGCCCGTAGATAACCTTTTCAAAACGATAATGCTAATCTCTAATGTTATTTCCAAATAGGTCCGAAAAAAAAATTTCAAAATGAATCTGTTACAACGTCATGGACTAATGGGTAGCCTTTCTAAAAAAGAAATTGGGCCTTCGAACTTGAATGGATAGCCCAATATTCTCTCACCTCAACTTTGCATCCTTTGAGTTTTTCTTTGGGACAGAACTCATAGAAGTGGAGTGGGTCACATTGTGTAAATAATACTCCTTCCATAGTCTCTTAAAAAGTTTCACCTTTAAATCTTTAATAACTTAATACGAAGATTAAGAAAAGTAAAATTATATGCATGAAAATGATACAGAAGAGAGCAATAACTAGAGCTACTCTTTTTGGGACAATGCAAAAAAGATGTGAAACTTTTTTTATGAAATAAGAATGATACGCAGTTCTTCATTCATCTCCGAATCATATTGTGATTCCTTTGTCTATTTCAAAATTAATTTTATGTCTTTTTATGATTAGAGAATGATCGGTAATTTTATATATGATCGGGAATTTAAAAAAAATCTCTAAAATTGAATTCAAGTAAAATGAATAAATCCAAATTTATAACTTAAAAATGAAGAATGGCATTTCAAAAATCCTAATTGCGTTTAAAAGAACAGAACAATGACCCGCATATGCAGCTCAACTGGTTTCATGGGTAGAATTTGGAACAAAACACCAAGGATCAAGTTTCACCAGCAGTGTCAAAAAAATGAAGGGGGGAGGGGTCCTTGTGTGCAGTGAGTATTACTTACAACTTCAGTTATCATTGAGTCGACATCATTTACATCCGGTTGAGCGATTTCGCCTTTTGGAACAAAAAATAGAAAAATGTGTCAAAGGACATTGTTTTGGCATTAACAAAACGAAATCGAGGGGATCAATTGCCATCTTGACCCCCAAAGGCCAAAACCGCCCTCTCCCTTCCAAGCTACGGAGTACAACTTTTGTTTTTTTTTTTTTCCTTGACACTACTTCGATGTGAAATTTAGTGAATTCTAAGCATTACATTATGTCATCATATTTTTTCCTTCTATATCAAAATAATTTAACTGTTTTCCTTTTTTTATGCTTCAAAAAAGTGAAGCATGTTTGAAAAAATCCTAACTGAATAAGTGTACTCCTTCCGTCCCATGAAACATGAGACTTTTGCTTTTTAGGAAGGATTTAAGGAGAATATATTTTGGTATTGAATTTCCAAAAATGTCCTTTGATATGATGGGTAAAAGTATGATTTGATAGATAGATTATTAGTAAAAAGGTATGATGTGACAACTAGAGTATGAAAAAGTAAGGGGTAAAAGTGACTTTTTAATAGAAATGAAAAGTGTTTTGTGGGACGGATAAAAAAAGAAAGAAGAAAGGTTTCATGGGACGGAGGGAGTATTTGAATGATTTAAAAAAATCGAGGTAATCCTAATTAAGAGCTTGTTCTTTAGGACTTAAACTCTTAACTTTCAGTTTCTTTAGTTCTTTCCAGATTCTTCAAGTTCCTATCAGTTTCTTCCAGTTCCTTCCAACTATTCTCATTTTCTTCAAACTCTTTCTACTCCCCAACCAATTACTCTAAAAAAGATATATTTTTAATGTGATTATTATTATTATTATCATCATCATCATCATTATTACAACTGTTATGTTCATAACTATATTTTATAAATTATTTTTTTCATCTCATTGTTT